GGGCAGGGCGGGTCGGCAAGGCCTGGAGGGAGGAACCGGCCCTTAGGAGTAGACTGCCGGGCGCCGGCTCCGTGCTTACAGGTTTCCTTGCGCCACGTCCCACCTCTCGGGCCCTTGCCGCTCCCGAACTCAGGAGGCCGCTAGGTGTCAGACACGGCCAGGCTGTGGCCCACTAGGCCCCTCAGAGCAAGAAAGAACACCTTTGCTCCCAGCTCCCTGTAGAGAAGACCAGGACAAAACCCCTTTCCCATTTCCACCCACACACACATCGATGTTGTTGACAGGTTTTGCTTACCCTTTCTCCAAGCTAGGTGGTTCTGCATAAGGGCGTGCGTGCGTGTGTGTGTGTGTGTGTGTGTGTGTGTGTGTGTGTATGCCTAAGAATAAGATTCTGACACTCAACAGCCTCCCATGAAGGCCTAAACCTTGCGGTCCACAGCCTCCCCTAGGAGAGGAGGTTGCCAAGACCAAAACCAGGAGCCAACTCCTCTGCAGCCAGATCCAGGCCCTCTATCCAGGAAACGCTGTGGGTAGATAAACAGGTCCAGCTCAGACTTTCTCACAAGCTGAGAACAAAGGGTTCTTTCCTGTGGGTGCCTGGCCAGACTCACCAAGGGTCCAGCAGTAGGAGGGAAATGGGGTTTCCTCCCCTGCAGATTCAGAACAGCCTCAGCTAATGGTTGGCTTCCCCCGGGTGTGAGAAGCAGTCCTTGGAGCCCCTCAGATTGGATTCTCCCACAGGCAGGGCCCAGAGTTTCCTGAAGGGCCCTGGGAACCTGGTACCCACTCAGAAGGAAACCATGCTGTCAAGTGCATGGCAGGACACACTTTCAAATGGAACAAACACTAGGTCTTCCTGGCCCCCCACAGAGGGACCAAGCTTAAACTGTCTGAAGAATTGTGTAACAGTAACTTTTCACTTGGAGGAAGTTAAGGGAAATAGAATGCAACCATGCCTCGTTAATTGAAGGCGAAACAGCCATTCCTCATTACTGGGTCACTGTATTTGGGCTTGGTGGGGGCAGCCTCAGCCGGACCAGCCTCTTCAAGTGTTGAGTTCCCTGGTTACAGGGCAGGGCTTTCTGCACCACCCAAGCAAGAAAAGATTCGAGTCATTGGGGCCCTTGAGTGCTCCACCCCCATGGCCCTGGAGCCCTGGGCTGCAGCTCTTTTTCTCAGGAGGGAGATCACGCTCCCCCAAACAGTGTTTTTAGGGTTTGCTTAAATGGTGATGGGAAGACAAGCTCAGAGCAAGGGAGAGACTTGTACACCAGGAACATGGGGACTTAGCTCTAAGGACTCATGGATCCACTCAGCCCACTTTCCAGAACAGGTGATACCACCAAAGTGCAGTAGGGCACCAGGAGCCAGAGTCCCCAACCCAGGATGGCAGACACTTAGAGCACCTTCTTCCCTTTCCTGTTGCAGAAATGCCTGCCTCCAAAGCCTGAGCAGTGTGTGCCCTACAGTTAGGGCAGGGGTTTTCTGTGGAATCCCTTTCCCACATCAGAGCTCAGCTAGCCTTTCTGGTCCTCATGCATACCAGGTTCATTCACTCTGACCCTTCCTTGAAATGTCCTGTCACAGATCATTACTGGGCTTATTCCTTTGAATCTCAACTCAAACAACTGTGCCTTTCCTGACTACAGTATGGCAGTTGGAACAGGGATTGGAAATGTAGATGCCCTGCTGGACTTGATGGACTGGGAATGGTCCAGAAACTCCTCTGAGCACCCCTAATTTCTGACCAAATGCACTTAAGGAGTCAGAGTGCCAAGGCACTGAGCAGAATGGATCTTGTAAACAAGGAATCTGGAAACTAAACCTCTACCTGGTTCATCATTTCTCTCTAGGGTACCAGATTCAGAAAATAGAAGGGGAAAACACAAGACTCCCAGTTAGATTTGCATTTTTTAAAATTTGGCACAAATATATCCCAAATAATACATGCAATATACTAGAGATTGATCCCTCAAATGAAACTAGATGTCCTGTATTATATGTGGCAATCCTACCCTTGCTCCTTTATGCGAAGGATAGGAGAGAGGCCTTCCCAGGTCCCTGCAACATGTCCCAGAGGCTGAAGCACTCAGAACTAACCAGCCTCCAGCAGAGTCTCACCCAGCACACCCAAGGGAGAGGCCTCAACCATGGGCTGCAGGAGGTGTACAAGGCACAGATAGAATCCCCAGTCCTGAAAACACTAAAATTTAAACATTCTTACAAATCTTCTCAAGCATTTACTGTGTACCTTCTCTGTACCAGGTGCAGAGGGAAGACACTGGGGATATAGCAATGAACAGGACAGGCACAGCCCTACTCTCAGGTCTTTACAGGCAGGATCCCACAAGAAACTCTGGGCTCAGTGACAGAGAATAGAAGGGCCAAGGAAGGGCATGTGGCACTCTGAGATGAACAGGTGTTGATCTGCGAGGAGTCAGGCGAGGAAAAGACAGGAGCGTCCTTCCTGGCTAGAGGATCAAGAACTACACCGTGAAAGCTGGGTGCCTTTTTATGTTCTTGGGGACCCAGGCTTATTTGCATGAAGATTCCCTAGAATCTGGTGCGAGGGGCATGGACCACCAGCTTTGGGAATCCACATCCCTGAACCAAAGTCTGTGCCGTGCCTGAAATGACACTGCCATGGGATGTCCCTGACCACTACCCTGAGGGTGGGAACAGCCAGTCCAAGTAGCATCAGCAGCAGGTCTGCTCCCCTAGGAACTTAAAAGTACAAGGCTATTTTGACAAGCTTAAAACAGAACTGTGCATCACTCAGGAAGAAAAGCCTGTCTTCACCTTGCCACCCTGTGGGAGAGGCCGTTGCAGAGTTGCAGCAAATCCAAGTACAGCTACACCACTGCCCGTGACCATACCAACCCCACACACACACACACACACACACACGAGACTCCTCAAGGCAAAGCCACTCCTCAGACCAACACCTAAGGGATAGAACCGTTCCTCATGCTCATGTGCACCCTCATCCTAACTGCTCCTCCTCCTCCTCCACTCGGTGCCCTTTTGTTCCTTTCACAGTGCCCCATGGTTACACCCCCCGCTGCTTCTCCTGATGGTCCCCAATTATCTCTGCACTGCAGTTGACTCTTCCTGCTAAACCAGTCAAATCCTTCCTTAGCTAGACGTCGCTGACTTTGTATCTCCATGTCTTCAGTCACCTATACGGCCCCTCCAGTCGCTCTCCAGGTCTGAGTCTTTACTAACCTCACCTACCACCCCCAGCATGAAACCAACAGCCCACTCCAACCCTTAAACAAAAGGTCATTGCTCAATTTCCTAATTAATGAAATGACCAAAAAACTCAGACAGGACATGTGGCCCGCTTCCTATATCGCTAACCTCTCTGTACAAGAAGAGCTCAACGCAGCCCCATAGCCACTGATACTACTCTGACCTTCCCAGCCCATCTGTCTGTCCTCCAGTATACAACAAGGACCTCTACTCCCCGATCAGTGTAACTATATGTTACAATTACCGGCCCGGTTGACCATATGGATTACCAGGTCATTCAAGATGCCCCTTTCACCCAGCCTGTCTGCTTTTCCAGCCCTCCTAACGGTGCAACAACATCCTTGCTTCCCAGTCAGATCTCTGTAATGGCCACCACTTCCCATGCATGCAAATACATCCGTGGACTCTCTGTCCCCAGTCTCCCACTCACCCGGATTGCCTTCTTTTGCCTATCTGTAAATACGCCTCACAGTGGCTTCTAATAGATACCAAAAGATCCTTCTTCCATTGGGAGAACAGCACAGTAAATGCCAGTGACATCCCCCACTGGGGGCCCTTCCAGCCTCTAACGGGAGCTGCCCTCTCAGGTATGTTTGGCATCTGAAAGAATGAAAACAGAAAACTCTCACATCCCTTTAGCATCCATAACCAACTGTGCTTGCCAGCCAAGGCAACCCTTTTCCTTTGTGGGACAGCCTCCTATCTGTGCCTCTCCACTAACTGGACTGGCACCTTTATACTAACATACCTCAGCCCCAAAACAGACATTGCCCTGGGAAACCAGAGCCTGCCTGTCCCCACTAGAGCCCTGATCTGACAACGCAGAGACCTGCTAACAATACCCCTGCTTGTCCATCTGGGTATTGCCACTGCCTCAGGGGCAGGGATAGTGGGTCTCACTACCTCCTTGACCTACTATCATTCCCCATCCCAAGAGCTCTCTAACAGCCTCAAAGAAATAGCTGACTCCATTCTTACCTTACAACACCAGTTGGACTCACTGGTGGCAGTGATCCTCCAAAGTCACAGGAGTTTAGATCTTCTCACAGCCAAAAAAGGTAGCCTATACATTTTTCTACGCATCTTGCTTCTATACCAACCAGTCAGGCATAGTACAAGATGCAGTGCAAGGGCTTACTGACTAGGCTGCAGAAATTGGACAATGCATGTCCAACTCTTGGACTGATATTTGGAGAAGCGGGACCCCATGGCTCCTCCCATTAGCCAGGCCTATTGCCTGTATTCTCCTCCTCCTCCTCCGCCTCCTCCTCCTCTTTGGCCCATGCCTCCTTGAGGTTACTGTCAGGATTCCTACAGAATTAAGACCATCACCAATCACTCGATGTGACACATGTTTGCTCTGACCACCCACCTATACCATCACATCCCCCCAGAGCCCTCTACTGATTAAGGTTGTCCACACCACCCCACATGTTCTGTGCAAAGCCATGAGAAACAGTGCCCATCTTCCCTTTTTCATACTCTTTCTTTTTTATAACCACAAAGACACTGGCATGTCACACCTGGTGGGAAAAGCCATTGCAGAACATCTTGTGGCCAGTGGGAAAGGCCCACCTGTCGGGAAGATTACTGCAGGGTTCTGGGAAGTCCAGGTACAGCTTCATCACGGCCTGTGGCCATGCTGTCTCTGTCTCTCCAGATTCCTCAAGGCAGCAACTCCTCAGATCAACACCCAAAAACCCTCTTCAATGCCTAGCAACCACCTCCCCCTTAAAAATCTTAGCTTTCACCTTTTTCACTGAAGATTCCTCCATTCAGACTCAGCCCACTTGAAAAAGATAAGCAGCCTCTTTGCTTACACAAAGCCTGCCCAGGAGCTCTCTTTCTTCTGTGCATCTTTCTTTCTTTCTTTTTTCATTTTGGTACCGGGGATTATACTCAGTACCTGGTGCTTGCAAGGCAGGCCCAGTGCCACTGAGCTAAATCCCTTCCTGCACCTTTAAAACATTTTCCTGAGTCAGGAGCACTGGAGGTGACCAGAAAGAGAGTGGCCTCGGCATGCACTGGACCTACATCATGGTGGTGACAGTGGCATCAAGGCGGGGTACAGGTCACAAAGTTACCCGAGCCACAGGAGTCACCTTGGACCTCCAGACTGCAAGGGGATTAAAGCTGAAAGAAATCAAAATCTATAGGTTGTCACCCCCTCCCCTGTGGACCCCAAGCCCAATCTAGTCTAGGAAAAGGCCTGGACCAGTGGTGGCGAATCTATGGCCGCAGCAGGCTGTTTGGCTGACACCACTGACCTAGACAGCCGCGATGGTAACACGGTTG